GAGCTTGTTTTCGCTCAGCTGGAGTGGGGGAAGGTGGAGGCTTGTAAGGTGGAAAGATCTTATCTACGGAGAGGGCAAGCCTCAATCTCTCTGTCCAATAAGGATTTGGCAGGGAAGAAGGTGTGGATGCTTCTATTTCAGGAGGTGGAACAAGGGCAGGAGGAACAAGGGCATTAATATAATCAAGCCAGTCAGAAGAACAAATCTTCGCCTTCTGGGCTAAGAATGATGGATTGTACCCTTGTGCCTCTTCTAGGCATCGGGCTGCGTGCACTATCTTTGTAAGCATGGAGGATGTATACTATGCCACAAGCAGATTCTCCTTCAAACTGCGTCGATGGTCAATGGGCACGTAGGGATAGACCACCGAGCTTCGTGCATAAGAAGGGAACTCTAAAGGGTCAATAAATTTGACAAAGTGATGGTTAATTCGTTCCCTCAAATCACAAGCCTCAAGTTTTGACCAACTTGTCCAGTCGGAAGCACCAGAAGAGGAAGAAGTCGTAGCCTTGTCCCATGCAGAGGATTGTGAAGAAGAATTTCCCATGTCCATATTTGTAACTTTCTGAATTAAAGGATTGAGAGCAGTTTGTTCGTAGTCCAAGGGTGAGTCAGAAGAAGAACTTCCCATGTCCATATTTGTGAGTTTTTGAATCGAAGGATTAAGGGCAATATGTTCGAAGTCCAAGGGTTGATAATTTGCAAAGGCATCCATGACTTGAATATAGAAGGGTGGGTAAAGGTGGCTAATTAATGCATGAAGGTTCTTTCGAGGAGGAACAACATCATCATATGACTCTTCGTGTGCTCTATCAATGAAGGGGATAATTGATTCGGCCATAAAAAGTTTACCAGTCTGTTTGAATACTAAGGTGGTGGAGGTGTTCAAAAGATTGAAGGGGAGTTTAATGCAGATGATAAATAACAGTTGCATTTCTGGAAACCATGCACGTTCTAAGACGTGGGAAAAGATTTTGATCCACTAATATCACCAAGTATTGGGTATATTAGTGCGGGGGGTAATGTTGGCTGCATATTTTGTACAAGCCAATTACAAGTCGACGTGTGGCGAAATAAGGGTAATATAGGAAGACTATTCAGGTCCTCGATCCTGATCGTACACGTGGCAGTTAGTATTGGTTATTAAGAGATCTGAGTAGCAGCAGATCAACAAAGAGATACAAAGTGATGCAGCTTCAACGGTTACTCGCATTTTAGATTCAAATTTAGGAGGAAAGCTTAACTGCAAGTAATGGCGTAATGGAGCTAATATTGGGGCAAAATGATCGATGATCATGGAGGAGCAGTTCGACGGTTGGAAATTCAATTCGATGATCATCCTGGAGCAATATATATAGTAGAGAAGGCCCCAGAAAAGCCCCCCGGACTCAGATCCAAAAAACCAGTCTTTTATACTTATTTTCCTTTCCAGCTTTACCTTTACAGTTTTTTACATTACATTTTTTTACATTACTGTACTTTAAAATTCTTGCACTACACTTCGTTTCATAGGAGTAGTTTCAAGTAGAGTTGCTGTAAACCTCTACGAGGCTGAGTTTGGATCATTGTAAGTCTTTTCATCTTAATGAAATACTTCAATTGTTCTTCAATTCATTGTTATCTGTTTAATTCTCCAAAGTTAGGCCACTAGTAAAAGTCCTCTTCATTGAGGCTGAAAGAACTCAAACACAATCGTCTGATAATTGGTTGGCAATTAATTTTCTGTAAGGACTAATTGATCTTTACTGGCATGCTCGCAATTACAACAATAACCTTCGAAAGCCAAAAAACCAACACTTATTACGTTCTTCATAACTCCAAATACAATCTCATCCTTAACATTCAATGTTTTCTTTACACCTCTAGTCTCATCTATTCCACCATTACAACCATTGCCAATTGCTATGGCCTCCTTTACCATGATAGACCCTTTCTCAACCTCTACCACTGTCAACCAACCACTTCATAACTTCACCATGGCATGCAGTGGCGGAGCCAAATAGGAATTAGAGGGGCCACGTGCCTCCTGGATTTTTCATTTTTTTTTATACATATGTATATAAATAAAATTTTAAACAAAAATAATATTTAGAATAAAATATCAAGGGCATTTTTAAATTTATGAAAATAATAGTGATTGTTTTATTGAAAATGAAGTGACTACAACAAATTATATTTTTATGTATAAAAATTTTGTGAAAAAATCTCAATATAAAGGTAATATCTTTTATTATTGATATGCAAATATAATTAATCTCACTATATATATGTAAAAATTACTAGAGTATTAATTATATTTGTATGTGGAGTTCACCTTTCATATGTTGCTTTACTATTGATTGTTGATATCATATATCAATAATGACGTGATATCACCCTTATATGAAATTTTTACTCAAATTTTGTAAAAATTTGATTTATCTTACTATTATATAATTTATTTTACGACTTAATATATGACTTTTTTATATTGTCCATGATACACTAGTTACACGCAATATTTTCTTTTCGATTTTATTCGAAGTTAATTATAAAATTTTATATGAAATACTTTTGTAACAATTTATTTAATTTTTTGTACGTAATATTAATTCAAAAATTATTATTATCTTCTTATTGTTGGTTATGAAAGAAGAAGCTGTAATTAATAAGTGCCCCTCTTGATTTAATTTTTTGACTCCGCCACTGATCGCATGTGACAGAAAGAAATAGATTTACAGTATTCAGATTTAGAAGGAAAAAAAAAATAGTAAAAGGCCATGAAAGTAAAAAGAGATTTCATGTTGGATCTGGTAAAGGGGTGATAGAGGAGAAAAGTGAGGGGTTGGGAGTAGCAAATCTAAAAATAAAAAATAAAAAAAAATAAAAGAAAGAAAGAAATAAAGAAAGAAAAAGAGAAAAGAAAAAAAAGTGGCGAATAATGATGCTGTGTAAATAAGTGAAGGGTGGTGAAGAGAAATGTGAAAGAGTGCGTTAACTTAGGTGGTGCGATGATGAATATAAATGAAAAGTAGTGAGCAAAGATTGGGTGGTAGAGGAATTAAGATTTTAAAATTTTAGAATTTCAAGAGTTTTATGTAAGATTTAAATTGTAATATAAAAATAAAAAATGAGGAATGCAATGAGATGTCGGGACTCTTTGTTATAGTTTTTGAGAGTAATTATAACTTATTTTGATTTGAAAGTTTATACTAAACTATTTCATGTAGTTTTTGCTTATAATTTATTAGACATAAATATCTTAAATAAGTTAAAAAAATTAATTATTTAAAAGTTAAGGTAGAAGTGCTTTTAACTTTTTACTTTATAATTATCAGCTTTTAGAAAAGCTCCAAACATGGCCGTTTTGTGGTCTAAATGGAAGTCCTTCCAAGTTTTAGAATAAAATAGTAAGTTACATTTTATTTCACTTCATTTTACACTAAATATCGCTTCAATTTTTTATTTATTTATTTATTTATTGTTAAATAGTTCAGGCTTTTATTTTTGAGTTAATTATCTACAAGTCATACTTACAAATATTATGATAGTTCAGATCCTATCTAAGATTTTTTGAACTAATAAGTTTTATTTAATAAAACTGAGAATATTATCAATTTTTCTTAATTTTTAAAACTAAGAATATTATTAAGTTTGTATAGTAATATTCTAGATAATTGTTTCACTAATTGATAAAAAAAAAAAATAGAGCATGAGATTAAACGTTTTTTGTCTTTCTACGTATTGGTTTGATTCAACTATCCAATAAAATTGAAAACATTATCAATTTTTTCCAATTTTAAAACTGAGAACATTATCCATTTTTTCATTTTTAAAAGTTTTTTTTTCAATTTTGCACATCAATGTTCCGTCATCATGCTCCTTTATAGACACAACTTTTAGCTTTGCACAAAAAAAAAAAAAAAAAAAAAAACACAAAAAAAAAAAAAAAATATAGTTTTTCAATTTTTTCAAAAAAAAAACATTGTACATCATTTTTTTTAGTTTTTTCAATTTGAAAGTTGATATTTTAAAATTTTAAAAATCAAAATAAATGTCAAATCATTATATTTCTTTATAAATAATCATAAATAATGAATAATCATTGTTTGAAAAGTAATCCCTACTATTAAAAATTTAATGGGATTTAAAAGTTTAAAAAATTTTAATTAGAATTTAATGAAATATAATTCATAAATTGAAACTTATGTATAAATACTCCTTTATTTTTAAATCATAACAATCAAACTCCTTAGGCTTTCAATCTCAAATTATCATGTATCATTTCAATCAAATTAGATGCGTACAAGTGTTTCTGTCACTAATTTAGATATGTTATAATTCTTATCATAAAAAGTAAATTCCTCATTAAATTGATAAAACTGTCGCATGATATTACTGTTATATAAAAATATTTACTCTATGTTTGGAAAGTGAGCAATTTTAGTAGACTATTTTAATTTTTGATTATTTTAATAAGTTAAAATAATTGTGTTTAGAAAGAGGGTTAAATTTTTTTTTGTAAATAGATATGATATTTATGAGAAAAAAAAGAGTAAAATAATTATAAATTTGATATAACATTTTATCTTATTAACTATTTTAACCTATTTTATCTTTTAATATTATTTTAGCCCAAAAAGTCAAAAAAAACTTATTGCCAAACACCCTAAAACTTACAAGTTTGGCTTCTCTCTAATCCTAGAATTGGAGGATCCTCCTTTGCTACCTAATAAATATAATAATATTACAATGACTCTGTTTACTGTGAATAATCAAATCTCCTTTTGGATGTTTCCTTTAAAATTGTGTGAGCTCATTCACTCTTTTGTTAAAGCATGTTAATGCAAATATTAATCGTATTCAATTATGTTAATTGGACAAAAATAGTGTTTGCATAAACAAAAACATGGTAAATCTCCTCCAAAGCAACATTGAGAATCCAAAAGTTGGATTAAGTTTCATTAATTTAAAGGAGCCACTAAATCACTTGCTCTAACATTCTCAAACACGGATTCCCCCCCATATTCCACCTTGAATAAGGCAAGGATAAAGTTACAGTCAAGTCCTACACAACAAAAAAGTCCTCATCTATATTCCACTGGCAAACTGAAACCGGACATAACTATTTTATCAGCAAACATCTCGCCAGTTTTGGGCATGACATGCCAGTGCAAAGTCAAGTTGAATTCTTTTCCCTGGAGATTGCTTCCCTGCACAAGGAAAAAAGAGGATATAAAGCCCAACCAACCACACAGAACAAGGGGTCAAATATCCATCGGCAACGGGGAGAATTCATCACCAAAGAAGCTTACCTGATCAGTGAAACGATACTTGTTTGTTGTATGAATCCAGAATTTTGCATGCTCTTTGGAAGGTATAATACCATCCCACAGGGACACCTGCAATAAGACAATACTTTAGATCAATCAGAAAGTTTATATGCATCGGGAATCTGAGAAACAAAGCACAGTTATCATTACATGCCTCTCAATGTTTAACATATATACAATTAAGTGGTAGTAATTGATCCTCTAAGTTGACATTATATTAGAGGTTTAATAAAAAATGGAAAAAGAATCGGAAAAAAGTAAGAACATCAGATACCCCAACAGCATGGTAAAAGTAAAACAACAAAAATCGGACATGATAGACTAGCAACCCAGCTAGCCATTTAGTTTGGATACTGCAATAACCACACAACGTCTCAACCACTACAGGAAAATTGATTTTTAGCATGGTATAAGTCTAAAAAACGCCGTCATAAGTTACAACGACGTTTAATATTTTCGTCGCTGATACGACCGCCGTAATAGCTTTACAACATTTTAAAAACGTTGCTAAAAACATCAGGCGGCGTTTTAAAAAACGTCGCAAAAATATTGACGTCTACTACCTTTCCGTCACATGACATCATGATGACGTCATTTAGTGGCGTTTTTTAAAAAACGCCACTTTTTTTTTTTTTTATGATGTCATGTGTTTTTTTTTTTTTTTTTTTGGGGGGGGGGGAGATTCTGAATCTAGCACAACACAGCTAAATAATGTAACTAAAATATAGCATAACACACCAAATGATTTAACTAAAATATAGCATAACACAACCAAACAATTTAACCAAAATATGACATAACACTGGTCCAAAGAATTTAACTAAGAAAAAAGCTTGAGAATTTAACTACATGTATACAAGAGCAATAGTATGTACAATCTGTGATTTGGTAAAAAAAATTTACTAAAAATTCAATTTCAAACCGCACTCTTGAAATTGCTCTCACCAAAAATTAAAAGAACCAAAAAATCAAAGAAAATAACAAGGTCTGAGGCTCTGGGAACACAAAGTGAAATGCACAAAAAGAAGGAAATGGAAAAGAGAAACGAAGTAGAAGCTAAATGGAAAAAAGAAATTTGTACGACCTCGCGGCTTCCAACACGAGCCGTTCGAAGAAGAGCTACATTTTCTCTGGTTTTTTTCAAAATAAAATTGTTAGCATCCATTTCCAACCAGAACAGTGTTCAAGAGCAAAGGATTGCATAGAAGAGTCTCTGTTAGTACTTACACAGAAACTGTAGATCATGTAACTGTCCCAAAACGTCCATTGAAAAGGATCCCAATTCCCTGCATGATGAAGTTCTGTGTCAATATATTGCAACATGAATTACGAGTTAATTATTTTTCTTTTTACCAAATACCAAATACCAAATACCAAATACCAAATTATTTTTTATTTTTTATTTTTTATTTCACCAAATTTCAAGATTTGTGTAGTTTGCAGACCTGCCAACCAATACCATGGCTAAGAAGATGAGCAAGAGGTGGAGTGGCACTTGCTAGACGAGATGCAGTCTTAAACGCTCCAGTTGACTGTCAATATGAATATTTGTGTTAATCACTGATAAAAATATACTTGATTGATGTTTTTGTGTAAAAAATTACCTCAATCATGGAGACTAATACATCAGCCATCATCCCAAAAGGATGACCTGCACTAAAAGTAGGCGCGCCCCATTGTAGTGGGTATGGGATTTTTATCCTGCATAGTAATAAAATTCAAAGAACAATAGAACATTAAAATTTTCAATCCACTAAATTATTCTATACTTTTAATTCTTAGTCTTGAAACAATGATAAAGGTGTATATGAGCAAAATATTGTTACCTACCATGGTGCATGAATCCATAGATGTCGAGAGAGGGAAGTGAATATGGCATAGAGACAACCAACTGAAGTCCAAAACCAGTTTTTAGCAAAATTGATAAAAGCCCAATTTCAACATGATTTAAGTTTGTTCCAGTTAGTACCTGAACAGATTGATCGTTTGCTAGGCAACAAAAACACAAACAACTTGGAAATTATAATAAGCTAACTGATGTAGAACAAGTAGTTGAAGACTTCTTGGAACAATTGGACCGACAAAAGGCAAGAAAGATGTAGAACAAAATTCTATAATTTTTATATTTCTTAATTTTATTATTTAGAATTAGGTTTTTGACTAGGATTTTAAATAGTTTAGAATTTTTAGTCTCTTAGGTTTCCTAGTTCTCTTAGGTTAATTTGTGTTGATTTAAGTTTCCTAGTTTATTTTAGAATCACTTTTCCTACAAGTATTAGGTTTAGTTTATTATAAATAAGCCTACAAGCATATGTAACTTTATTCATTCATTCAATAGTATTTTAAAGAGCTTTTCTTCTATCTTCCTTGTGGATTTAAGGGTGTTCTTGTGGATTCAAGAATTCTCGTCTACTAGAACGATATCTAGTCTCGTGTGATTTATTCCGCTGCGTCACTAACTTAGATATGAATAACTCCTTACTTCGTGGGGGTCAACGCTAGTGCTGGGCCCATCGATGTATTTGAGGGAACAAAGCCTTGACACTCTCATTGATGAGATCCTGGAAAAAATGTATGCACTCCTCATCGTCCAAGTCCAACCGAAACTTCTCTTGAAGCTATAAGGATATAATCACAAACATGGTCATACAAAAATAAACAATTATATTCTTTAAATAAACAAGTAATGCCCTTTTCAAGATCAGAAGCTGATAATACTTCGGTGCTCTGAGAGTATCTAGAAATCAAATGGATTAACCTCTATTGAACCCATTGCAACGTGGTATTTGTGACAATCCACAACAAAGCTAAAACTACACCCACTTTAATCATCAAATATTGTCGAAAATCACAAACACTGTGATTAGACATTGCAATTTAACCTATCTGGTGGCACATGCAATTATATAGGTGAATTAGTTACAAAATATCCTCAACAGATATACATCATACAAAAAATTTAGAACCCATAAACCTTTCATTTTTAATGTAACTAATACTCCTCAAAGTGATCAATATTCCTCGTAATATAAATTTATAATAGAAATGGAGTGCCAAAAAGTATTCTATTAGCATGACTTTCCTCTCAAAGCCATTTTCCTAATGAACTAGAAACGCACTAGACATAGTTGCACAAAAAAGTAATTTGCACAGATGTGAGTAGGCCTTCAAGGATGAACAACTTAATACTTCAAGCAAAGGAAAAAAAACCATGTCATCCTTGAAATTGAAAGTATGATTCCATTAGACCAGGGTACTTGAAACTCAAAATTTCAATTTTTTGAGAAGCTAAATAACAATAATCAATGTTAAGAAGAACTAAATGCATGTCAACTGAATTAAGCATTGAATTTGTTAATATAAAGGTGATAATGATGACGCTTTGCAACTCAATTATCAATGATAACTATGCAAACTGTAACTATAAGTTGTTATGCAACTATAAGTTGTTGCTCACTTGCACTACAACAGAAGCATCTCATACCTGTGCTAAAGAACTAGATGGTATAAATTACAATATGCCTTCATCATGTCCAGTTGCTAGGACTTTTATGGAGTCAAATGCAGATCAAGTGATCCATAAACAATACCATTTGAATAACCTACAGTGACCACAATCAATATATCAAATCAATCGATCACCCTCCTTCCACCCCCACCTCTCCCATGCATGTTTTTCTGTGAGAGACAGAGAAGGAGAGAAAGAAAAGATGTACATCTATTGAACAGACTACTTAATCTGCTAACTGGTCTTGCCAAAGATCATCCCCTCTCTTGAATATGATTTTGCAACTTCCACCATTTACACTTTATCTAGTAATAAAATATAGTAGCCCCCTTACCTAATCATGTGTAAATCACCAATTAGTGTACTTATAGGAGAAAAGATACAAAACATAGAGGAAGAAGAACCATTCCTCTTATTCTCCTTATCCATCTCTCAGCAAACAAAAAAAGAGACACACACATGCAATCATCATCTAGTTAATCAAAATGCCAAAGAATTTTAACTTGAAAGTGTTATCCAATTTTCTCCTCTAAAATTATATATATGCCGCCTTAAATAAATCTCAATTCTAAATTATTGACCATATGAAGGAGGCAAAACCAAGTTAAAAATCAATAACTAAGACGAGCTCTTTAACTTCAACCCAATCTGCTAACAGAAACAGATTATACAAGTTGTGTGTATAATTAAGCAAAACATCAGTAAATTTGATACCAAAATTGCATGACAGACAACAAAAACCCATTGCCTGCTTCAAAAGTGTAGTTCTCATCATTTGATTAGGATATGACAATCATCTCACCTGAAGTATGGCGAAAGTACCTGTTGGATGAATCATACTGTAAGACCAAAAATATTGGCAGAAATTGAGTTTAATGAATCAAGGACTGATATAAATTAACATGAAACTGTGAAATAGAGAATTCTAAAGTAATTTAAGAACGAAACTCACATGAGAGATTTGATATATCATTGATCATTCAAAATGTTGAAATTAACGTACACCTATGACCTATGAGTAAGCTAGCCAACTGAATTCAACAATTTCAAAATGTATATACATATTTTTCCTCTTAGTTGGGCAGAATCAGCTGGTAATATATTAGATCAATACATAGGAAAATAGAATTTCATAAATATATTCTAATTGACAAATTAGTAAGACTAAGAATATCAGCACAAATTGAGTTTAATGAATCAAGGATTTGATATAAATTAACATGAAACTGTGCAATGGAGTATTGTAGAGTGATTTAAGAATTAAACTCACATGGGAATTTGATCTATCATTATCAGTGATCATTCAAAATGCTCAAATTAATGTACACCTATGAGTACGCTAACCAACTAAAGGCAATTTCTCCAAAATTTACGTATACATTTTTTTTTCTTGGCTGGGCATATTAGGCCAACATACAAGAAAATAGAATTTTATTCAGAGATTTTAACTCACAAAATTGTTTTCCCTATGACATGCCAGGTATAAGAAATTATAAATATTAGAATTATGAAATTGGGGGTACTTGTTTTCCACGTAATCCCCAACTCCGGCCTTCACTGTCACACTAGGCCCTTTACTGTTTCTCTCAATGTTGTCTGACGCTGTATTTTTTGAATT